TGTTTAACCAGTCTAGACAGATCATTATGCACAGTGATACAATTCCAAATATGCGAGAAATCCTCGATTTCAATATTGCATCTGATACATTTCTATGTCAAGTGATAAATTGTTAGATGCCGCTTCTTTAAAACTTCTAAAGTTGGAAGAATTTCAAGTAAACAATGGATCTTTTTTTGTTTAATAGTTGAGGCATCATAATATGTTATGCGTAAAGCAATATTATTAGTGTTGCAGTGAAGGTAGCAAGCCAGTGAATATCAGAGGAGTAATATTTTGAAATAATGTTGAGGTTGAGCAATGCTGCCAGTGTTTCCGCTTTTTTAATTTCTTTAATAAAGGGCTGAATCAGAGTAGTTACAAAGAGGTTATTGAAAGAAACGTATAGTGCTCTTCATCATTTAAATTGATTTGAAGAGCCGATGAGGACAATGATTGTTTTGTGAGCGAATCTACTTTTTCGTTGAAAGTGTCTCCAGCATGTGCTTTCACTTTGATTAGGGATACAGTAAGATTCATCTTTGTAATAGTATTGAAGACGCCATGCCAAATATGGATGTTGGTAATCTTCAAAAAGGGTCTTTATGACGATGAGTAATTTGACAGATTTTTGTATTTGTTGAATTGTGCAATAACTACACTCGAATCAGTGAAGATTTTAATTCGACATTGGGAAGGAGCAACTAAAATTGCCATAAAGATAGCAGCCAGCTCTGCGACTGATGAAGATGGAAAAGAGATGGTAAAAGCTGATGAATACGAAATAAATGATGCAGTAGGTGAGGTTTGAAGCTAGGCTAGACCCATTCTAATTGAAGGCTTTCCTAAATTAATAAGTAAGCCATCGGAATAGAATTCAAGGTCAGAATAATTTGTAAAATGTGAACTTAAAGTTATTAAATGTGACGAATGAGAGGAAGGAATATATTTTTCTATAAGCGTCGGTGAAGTTAAAAGAGTGTTAGAAAGTGCAAGAGGCAGTCTTAATCAGTATGTAATTTTTTGTAGAAGAAGTCAGCCAGGTCTTTTAAAGATTCATTGACCATGAGCAGAAAGATCCAGACTCAGACCAACTATAATTAACTGGGATGGTAAAACAGAGATCAAGTGGGAGATTAGTGAAACATGAATTATGTGGAGTGTTAACAGTTGAAGATATGACAGTATGTGGGTTATGAATGGAACATCCAATGCATTCTTTCAATATTGTCTTTCTATGTTGATTGTGTATTGCGATGAAATGTTGTATAGCGGCAGAATTATTATCAAAATGTCGAAGTTTTCCAATAATTTGTTGGTTATTACCCAAATTCCATCCCAAGACAAAGGATTGCTTGCTAGGAATCTTGGTTGGTTGAGTGAAATTAAAATAGCATTCCATCGTATAGGGACACCTTTGTCGTAATGCTCTTGTAATCGTATCTGAGAGTAAATCCTGTAACATAGTGAACCATTTTGGTATTCTTGCTATATGCAGAGTGTTTTGTAAACTGAGAGATCAGCGAAAGTAAACATTGATCGACTATGCGCATAAGAAAGTTGTTCTATAAAGTGTAAGGAATATTTCCTTAGTGCCGCTGCAATTCTTTGTAACGATCGAAATTATTGTGTGTAATGGAGTATTTCCTCCTTTTATAAGGTTATGAGCATTGGCAGGTATTTGAACTGTGATATCAGATTTGTTCCATTCACATAAAACATTCGCGACCCAATCTGAATCTTTAAAAGGGTCTATAAGACCAATATACTAATGGGGAGTTAGCCAACCATTCTTTTTGTTGAAGTTGTTTAAGACTATGTTTGATCGAAATTCCCAAAAGATTATTGTCATTGATAGCAAAGAGGAGGCCTTCGCTATAAGCAGCAAATAATCTGTGATGTAGATTGGTGAGATTATATATAAGATGTGAATGCAGAAACACATGTGGTGTAGAACGCGTCAGTCATAATTTCTGTTTCATAAAGGCTCTGTAAGGAGAGACAATTTGGTGACATTGTTGCTCTGTGAAGGTCGTTAGCTGAGCTCGATATTCAATCTTTGGAACAATGACAGAATTAAAAATATAAGTGAGTTGTTTGTCAGTAAGTCATTTTTTAAGCATTATCGTAACCACGTTTTTAACTTCACTTTTGATCAGTTTAGTAGTAAATGATTTATTACGTCCTAGTGATATCCATACTCCCAAATATCTTGTAGATTCATTAATCGATAGCGGAGGAATTACAGTAGGAGTATCATTGAAATTACATGTAAATGGATTATTAATGTCATTTCTATTAGTAAGTAAGACTGATTTTTCCCAGTTTACTTTAATGGAATTTAGTGGTAACAACTATCTGCTATATGCATGATTTGGTCCAGATCCTCCCGTGATTTTGCAATCCACAGGGTATTGTCCATGAATGTTAATGTTGATGTTTTAATGGTAGAGGATTCATTAAAATTGGTCAAGACGTTTGACTTCCATTTGTGCGTAAGAGAATAGCCATGCGATGAGTTTTAAATTCTACATAGGAGGGGTCGTAATAGATGCACTATAACAATGGTGAAATAATTTCACCTTGGTCAATACCTGACATCACCCGATATGTGTCAGTGTTACCAAACATAGTAAATATTTGGTTATAACGATTACTGAACATTTTCAAAATGAAACGAATAAAGTTAAAGGGTACATGCAGTCACTCTAATGCTCTGATCAGCATAAACAAATTTACCCGATCATATGCTTTAGACATATTTTGTAATAAAACCCAAAGTTCACTTTTGTTATGCGTAGCATCATACTTTATGTTATCAATAATATGGATAGGTTCAAAAGTTGATTTAAAAGGTAGACCTGCGAAGTTGAGTCCTTTCAAAATGTTGTGCTTGACCATTATGGTGAAAAGGCGACAAGTGAGGAGTTTGATAAGTGCTTTGCGAGGGCATTCGAGTAGCGTAATTGGTCTTGTGTTATTCAAATCATATTCCCATGGTTTGGGTTTTGAAATTGGATAAATGAACGCATAATTCCACCTATGTGGTAATAATGATAGTTTCAGGTAACCACAAACTATGAACCATAGAAGTTTTCTGGAGAGAGGACCTAAATGTTTTAACATTTTGTTCGAAACTTTAGAAGGACCTGCCACTTTGCCATCAGGTAATGAGTTAATGATATTATACCATTCGTCAGCTTCTGGAGGGGTCATCAGTTCGTTGTAAATGGAATTGTCAATACTAACAATTGGTCTATACAATGGGATCCACTCTTCATCGATCTCCACATTTTCATGAGACGTACCAGCAGCTATCTGAAAATGACGTGCTACTTCTTGTTTCACTTGATTTTCGTCTGTGAGCAAATCACGTGATTGAGAAGAATTATTGATACATCTATCTAATAAGATAGTTTTCCTAGTACGTTCCAATATGGAATCAGTCATTTTTGCTGGGAAGGAAAAATAATTTTCAAGTCTTTTTTCAAGAGCCTGTTGAATTGCTTTCAGTTTGTATTCATGTTCATAGAGTTTGGATTTAACAAATATTGCAGCTAAAATTTTGATCGACATAAAACATGAGCGACTGAACTAAAATGACTGTTAGAAGCGATGGCAATTGAACAAAGGGAAACTGAAACTCATCTATTATAATATAGAAACGCTTCACATTTGGTGTTCAGTTGTTATCAATAATAAGGGTGCGACAAATTTTTTTGATGCTCTTTTTAAATCTATATAAAAATCGCATATTCTTATAAAGTTTAAGTAGAATAGGTGATCGTTTCATCTCGTGGTGTCCTTTGGATTGTCTTGATGGTATGGTTTTGTCAGCGGCTTCGAGAATACATTCCTGTAATAAGTCCCAGTAGCAGTTCAACTTATTTTGATCCAAAGTAGTATTATTATTGAGAGATATTAGAGCACAACCTTTAGTTAATGCATCTATTTAATTGCTAAATTTACTATAAAGTTCCGTGGTCATTTTCTCAAAGTTGAAAGTTTTCTTTAGAGGTATTTTTTGCTTATTTAGCTTGATGTTGAGAAAGTTTTCACATTTGAGTATTACAATTGAGTGATCTGAGATGGTAGAAGGAACATCTACTGTTAAACATTTAAGGAAGTGTGAAGTGATATCTACTGTAGACCAGACGTAATCAATTTGCGAGGTTGTATTATGAGATTAGAAAGTTGGATAATTAACTCGTAATCTATCAAATATTATATTGCAGGAGTCAAAGAGATTCATATTTTGAATCGTATCAAAAAAGTTTTTATCAGTCTTAGTAAGAATGGGTTTGTCTATGTCAGCGTTAAAGTCGCCCAAAAGAAGAATTTGAAAGTTATCTGATGTTGCTGAACGTAATATTTTAAATAATTCAGTATAGACCTGTTTTTTTGTATCGATATCAGTTGGGGTATATAACAATTAATGATTCTCAATTTTTGTTTGTTTGAGAATTGGAGGTCTGTAAATATAATTCAGTTAAGAAAAGAGTCATGTTAAAACACATGATTAGCTAGTTGTAGGGTTAGCAAAAGGCCGACACCAAAACCAGTGGTTTGCGTTTGGTTGTGAGATTGCATGCCAAAAAAACCAATGTATTTTTGAGCAAAATTCAAATAAAAAGGGGATAT